CGTGGTAACCCTCTTGATAGCTCGGGCTTCCCTTCTGGAGGACAGAAACATCACCCAGGCCACACTTTCTCCCCATCGCCTGGCAGAAGGCCCACCACGGTAAATGGCCACTGTTTACTGAAGGTTTAGAGCGACATTAACAGTTCTATTAGTAGGAATGTAAATTTCAATATTCAATTTCAACCCGAGGACAATCTTAGCTCTTTTTATATAGTTCATGTTTAAGATTTAGCATACTGCCCAAAGGGACAGCGGCCACCAGATCTTTAGATGCCTCTACAAACCATTATGAAAACACGCGCCTTGGCCTAGTAGGCCTCTCCGCAAGCCTCAGCTTCTCCCTCCACAAAATGAAAGCTGATCACATTTCTGACTTCACTCTAAGGAAATGTACATGAGAAATTGGATCTGAACCGCAGGCTGCTAGACAAATACATATATAGGCGATATTTGCTGTTTCATTATACCATTTGTTGATTTAGAATACAGGTAGTATAAATTGTAAAAGCTGTTGGCCTCTTAGTATTGCAGGGGCCAATGCACAAATTATATATAATTCTTAATATTTTTTCCTGGCTATGAGCATTAGTGAAATTTAGATTAGAGGATGGCATAAGAGAACAACAACAACAACAAAAAAAAAACCACCTAGAGAGTCCTTAGGAAAAATGACACAAGACAATACTTTGAACCTCTTGCACTGTCTAAATTATGTCATTAGACAAGGGAGATGTATGTCATTTACTTTTGACAGAGCAGGGATCCCCGGCTCAGGAAGGTTAAAAGAATCCATCAAGATGAGCTGGCAGGGCTGGTAGTTAACCACCCAGCTGTCAGCAGAGAGACGAGAAAGGCGCTGGGTCTTGGACACCATGTATCTCTAGACAAAAGGGTTTTTTCCTTTTCAGTGTTCTACTGAAAGTCTTGGATTCCTGCAAGTCCTGCTCTGAATTGCACCCAGCTCTCAAGGGAAGCCCCTGAGACCACCCCAGTCCATCTCGAGCCTCACTTTTCTCTTCTGAAGAAGAAGAGCGCATGTGGAGGGGCTACCTAGACGACTCTCCTTCAAAGAGGAGCAGTTGTCTCCATTTTGGCTGTGCCTGCCCCTATTTCCATGTACTGATACGTTCAAGGCTGGTTAGGGCTTGTCCTTATCCCTTCAGTTGGCAACACATATTGGTCTAGCCAGGCGCTGGTGGTAGTCTATGAAGACAGAAGGCACTGTGTCCCCAGGACCCCCACCCACTGCTCCCTAGTGTGAGCTGGGACAGGCAGGAAACAGAGGCAGTGCTCTCAGATGTCATCTGGGATCGCCTGGAGATAGAGGCTATGACTTCCTGGGGCTTTACAGATCACACATCAGAGTCGATGCACGACCCCAAAACATTAGATACTACCAGTTGCGCAGTACAGGTCACTGCACCCCCTTTTCCCTGTGTATTGCAGGGGCGAATGCAGGTCTCTACCCAGCCCAGCTCACAGCACTCACCTACCTCCTGCCACTTTCACAGTCACTCTTCCTTAAGCCATTCCTCCTTCATGACTGAATAAAACCCAGGTTCAGCCCTGGGCCAAGGCCTGTGTTCCAGATAGCCATCCCCATGGCTGGACTAGTGCCCCTTGGCTCCCCTAAACTACAGATATGCCTTAGTGTCTTCATTCTCACCGTGGTTTGCACTGGGTGTGGAAGATATGAATTACCTTGATTCCAATTAACTTTTCATGGCATTACAAAGGCAAGTTTCCTTGGCTGTGAGGAGGACCCACAAGGGCTCCTTGAAGTGCACTTTGGCTTCCCCCAGGGCTGCTGGGAACATCCTGGGGATCACCAGGTGGAAGCCCTCAGCCTGGCGCCTGCGTGGCAGTAGCCTCACTCTGTGCTCGCCTCTTTCACTAAGCTTGCAAAGACAGGACAGGTCGTCATGGAGATGGGGAGAGGTAGGTGGCCAGTGCACACCTAAGCTAGGAGCATCTTAGGTGGTGGCAGCAAGCACAGAGGTGGCCAGGGAGATGCTTGGCTGGCTTTCCCAGATTCCCCAGTCCCCCCAGGTTCCTCTCTGCTCCTGGTAGCAGAGCTGCGAGGAAGGCAAAATGAGGTGTCTGCAGTGCCTGGTGCTGCCCACAGAAAAGAATCAGGGTGATCTTCCAGCCTGTGTCCATCGGCCCATGTCTCAGGCTGGCCAGAGCCCAGACGCTGGTGGCAGCTGTGTGACAAGAGGAGGTCCCTACCTTTCACGGCTCCAGCTTCATTGTGCTTCTCAAAGAGCAGGTAGTGTGGGCTCTCGGGGAGAAAGGGCAGGCTCACCAGCTGGACGAGGGCAGGGACCACGATCACCCCAAACAGGTATGGCCACGTGCTCTCCTGTGGGAGAGGAAAATGGGTCCTGTGGGAGCCAGCCCTGGACCAGGCAGTGGAGACTGCAGAGACCCTTCCTGGCATGGTCCCAGGAGCCGGCGCAGAGGGAGGGGACTGAGCTGGTTGTGATGTATCTTCAGTGACGATAAGAACACCAGGTTGTAGGACCAGCTTCTCGCCTCTCTTTGTGAGAAGTGAGGATGAAATGGGTGACGAGCCTGGAGCTGAAACCCATTTGTTTCTGAGTCACAGTTCTCAGAGCCACTCAGGCAGCCTGCTTTGTCCCCAAGGTCCTCCCCGTGGCCCCGTCCTGTGGACCACCTGCAATCAGATCTTGTCCTCCAAACAGAACACAAAGGAGGAGAGGAAGGAGCTTGTCCTGAGGCTGACACGAGCACAGGGACTTGCCATATCAGGGATCGGGAAGGTTTGAGGCTTGATTTTTCAATGGCCAGGACTGAACCTGGTCCCCAAAGAGCTCTGTGACCTCAGGCCTCTACCAGGAAAACTAGCACGCTGACAAAGGAGATTGAAGAGAATATCAGCAAATCAAAAGACAGTCCCCGCTTCTGGATAGGGAGAACCAACAGAGTTAAAATGGTCACTGTCCCAGAACTGTTACGGAGACCCACACAACCCCACAGCATTTCTCGAAGATCAGGGAAAAACAATTCTAAAGTTCATGTGGAACCAGAAGACACGTGGAATAGCAAAAGCAATCCTGGGAAACACAAATGGATGGAACAGAATAGAGGACACAGAGTCCTTCCCAGACACATTCTACTGTTTGCTTTTTTTTGTGGGGGAGTCTTTTTGAGATAAGGTTTTTCTATGCAGTTCAGGCTGGCACTGAGCTCACTTTGTAGCTCAGACTCGTCTCAGACTCACAGTGATCCTCCTGCCTCAGCCTCCTGAGTGCTGGGATTATAGGCATGCACCACCATGCCTGCATACTCTTTGATTTTCAACAAAGGGGCCAAAGACATGTGTTGAAGGAAAGATAGCCTATCCCAACAAATGGTGCTGGGAAGACAGGCTACCTATACTAGGAGATTAAAACTGGACCCGTATCACTTATCATGTGCTAATCTAAAGATCAAATATCTGAACATTAAAACAGAAACAATGAACCTACTGAAGATAAATAGGTACAACTTTGAAGTCATATTTATAGACAAGGATTTTCTGAACAGAACTCCAATTTTATAAGAAACAGCAGCAAGAATCAACAAATGAGATCATACCAAATTAAAAAGCTTCTTTTCAGCGAAGAAAATATCCCACATGAAAAGACCACCTACAAAATGGGGAAAAAATTTTGCCCCTATTTCTCAGACGGAGGACTAAGTTCTGCAGTAGATAAACAATTAATAATAAATGAGACCACCCCAAATACGAGACTTGACCCCAAAGTGGGCAACTGAAATAGATGCTTCACAAAAGTACAAATGGCCAATAGGCATAGGAAAAATTATCTGGACTCTCTGGCCATTAGAGGAATGAAAATTAAAACAACTTTAAGATCTCATCACGGGCTGGAGATGTAACTCAGCGGCATAAGTGCCTAGCGCAAAGTCCCAAGTTTGATCTCTGGAACTAAAAAAACAAACAAACAAAAACCTTATTCCAGAAAAAAGTGACTATAGCCAAGAAACCAAATAATAACAAATGCTAGCTGTGGCAGAAAAGGAGCACTCTATACTGCTGGTAGGAATGTCAACTAGCATACCCATTATGCAAATCAGTATGAAGATTTCTCAGGGATCTAAAAATAAATATTCCCTTTCTACATAGCTTCCCCAAGGACCTAAAGACAGCATTTTATGGTGGAACATGCTGCTAATGTTCATAGCGGCATGAGGAATAACAGCTAAATAGTGGAAGCAGCCTGTATGCCCAGCCACAGACAAATAGATGAAGAAGATGCGGTGGCCATGCGCAGTGGGATGTTACTTGGCTATAAAGAAGGATAAATTCAAGACATTCATAGGAAAGTGGATACATACACCTTGAAAATAAGACTTCTGGGCAACATAAGTCAGACACACAAGCTGACATGCATATGTAGCTCTCATTAAATAAGGCGAAGTGCAAATAAAGAGCAAAATAAAAGATTGATAGACAGAAACAGGGAGGTAGATCTTTTGCAAATGGGATGGGGTCCAAGAGACAGAGGGGGAGGGGAGGTGGACAGGAAGGGTGAGTAAGATTTAAGGCGTGTCAGGTGTATGCAGCAGATGCCTACTATGAATGTAAACATTATACGTCACTCACACAAACTAAAGAATAATAATACAGTTATTCCTCCCTTAACAATGCACCTATGTAATGATGGTTTGGACTTTCGGCCTGCATTTGGAGTCACCTCCCAGGAGCAGGAACCCCAGCGTGCCTTTCTGGTAGCTTCGCCTACAGCACAGAACTGTACTTTTTGCTTATCTTCACAGTACTGTGGGGTTTTGTTCTGTTCTACATTACAGGACCTTATGTAAAGGTTAAACAAATAAAAGTGACATCATCAAGTTGGAGTTTCTTTTGGCCGTTTCTTTGTTCTTTGTAATGTACACACTGTATACAATTCCTGCTTTAGTGACCAGTTCATTTAAGGACCTGGTGGCAAGGATGAAATTTGGCTGTTAAGCAAAGACTGTCTGGAATGAAATGGGGGGTGGGGGTCTAGAGATGGAGGGAGCGAGGTGGTGGGAAAGGAAGGGGAATAGAAAAGAATCGACATGCGTCATGTCCGTACACCTACTCCCTCAGGTGAACGAAACTCCATGTATTGCAAATACGTGGCAGTAAAATAAGATTTATAGGAAGGGTTGCCTTTCTGAGAGAGAGAACTGGGGGCTGGAAAGCCCTGTCCACCCCCCTCCCACCCTTGAGTCTCTGAGGTTCAGTTTCCCATAGGGCTGTCCAGTGGCCCAAGAACAGATTTCCTTAACACTCCAGTTGAAAAACAAGTTGAGCAGGTATGCCTGGCCCTTAATTCTGTGTCATGTATCTATTTTCTATTTTTTCCCACAATGCAGTATTCTGATAACTAGAGTTGTATGGTAAATCTTAAATCAGGTGGTACAAGACCTCTAATCCTATTTTCTTCTTTTGAAGATTGCTTTGGCTATTTTAGGCCCTTTAATTTCTATGTACATTTTAGAATGAGTTCATCTATTTTTTATTTTTTAAAAACTTCTTGGATTTGATTGGCTTGCATTGAAAGCACTGATAAATTTAAGGAGCACTGGCCTTTCAATGATGTTGTCTTTAACTCTGTGAACATGGCGTATCTCTCCATTTCTTTAAAGTCTCTCAATAGCGTCTTCTCTTTTTCAGTGTAGCGTGCTGTACACATTTTCATACACTTATCCCTATTTGATATTTAATGCTGTTGCAAATTATTTTTCCACTTCTAAGTTTTCATTACTAAGTAAAAGTAAAGCTAATTTTGGTCTACTGACTGTGCCTCGCAACCTGGATGAGCGTATTAGCTCTAATCTCTCTTTGAATACTGAGGATCACATACATAAATAGGAACACGTCGTCTGCAAATAAACACAGTTCTTTCTTTCTCAACAGTATGTTTTGATTGTTAAATCTCACTCTGTATTGCATATAGCAGAGGGCCCGCAGTGCAGTGTGGGTGGGAGTGAAGAGAGGTGATGGCCTCACTTGATTTCAAATCTTAAGGAAGCGATCTGCTCCTCCTTAGGCCAGTGAAGTCGCTTGTAGAGTTGTAGGATATATATAGAAAGTTGACTCTTTTCTGTGTTCTTTTGCTTTCCGTATTCCATTTTGGATCCTTGTGACTGACCCACCATCAAGTGTGCTAATCTCTAGCCCTACAGAGCCTAAGCTAGTCTTAATTCCATTCTGTGGGCTTTCCGTGTTGGGGACTGCAGTTTTCATCTCTGGAGGTCTCAGTAGGGTCTTTACATCTGCCACTCTCTTCATCACGTGTGTATTTCCCTCTACTCCCTATTAAATCCCGAGTGTGTCTACAGTAGTTTTAACATTATAACCTGAAAATGTTTTTTACCTCTGAAATTTTTAGTTATATTTCTATCAGTTGATCCTTCTTCCGATTATGGGTTGTATTTTCCTGTTTGTTTTCACATCTGGTAACTTTTGTACTGGAAACCAGAGCCTGCTCATAGAGTCTGTTCACAGGGACCATTCACAGAACCTCACTGCATCGCTCCAGCACCATCGAGCTGCGCTGCTGAGCGCAGTCGGGTCCTTGAAGTCAGTCTGTGTGTTGAGAAGGTTCGAGGGGGCCTTGAACACCTTTTATTCTGAGCTCCACTGCTCAGAACTCCGCCTGATGGCCACTCAGTGGCCACTCTGGCCACCGCTTCCAGATGAGTGCGAACCCAGACACTGTTTGCTTTGCATTTTACTTGGATGCTTCTTCATTGGTCAACAAGGCTTGAGTAAAAATCTGCTGAGACCCAGAGTGCTCTCCCCTCCCTCCCGCCCTCCCTCCCTCCCTCCCTCCCTCTTCTCCAGTATTTTTTCTACAGACCCTTCTGGGACAGTCTCAGGGCCACTTCATTTGTCTCTCTTCTCTTGTATGACCCTACTCTGACTGCTATCCAGTGTTTGAAAGCAGTTTTCTGCATGCTGTTGATTTACCACGCTGGGTGGGAAGGCAGCCGCGGATAAGCACAGACACCTGTAAACCACGTTCATCTGTCCCTGAACCTGGTCCGCTTCTCACACCCCTCCCTCCCTCCCTCCCTCCCTCCAGGAATCCCAGCCATGCTGCACTTCCTAGAAGCAGCGTGGAAATCCCTGCCTTTGCTGCCTCTTTGTCTCAGGAGCCTCAAGTGCACATGCACGTTTGTCATCTTGCCTCTTCTGGTCACTGGGATCTCAGCTCCAGCGACACCCCTCAGAGAAGGCTTCCCGGCCACCCACCTAAGTTGTTGTTGTTGTTGTTGTTGTTGTTGTTGTTGTTGTTGTTCTTCTTCTTCTTCTTCTTCTTCTTCTTCTTCTTCTTCTTCTTC